CTGATCTGCTGGGATTGGGATTTGTCGGTGCGTGGATGGGACACCGGAGCTTTTCGAGAGTGCTGGCCGTGTGGAGCGAAGGTGCTATGGTACTCTGAATCCGTCTCTCTGGGATTTGGTGGGCCTATTTTGGGCACATGTTTATCATGCTGCCTAAGCAGACGGAGTTTCATTAATATTATCCTTTATCCATTTTGTGCCCCATATTTTTTCTATAAAAATAATCTTCCCTGAGAAATGTAGTTTACCCTATTGCATATCATAGTCCTCCCTCCCTTGCCCTGTGGGTGTAAGTGATATGCTATCCCCATGGGCGTCCACAGGAATTTTTCCGGGGTTGCGGGGCATAATTGTAATGACATCCATGCTTGGTACCTTTTTGACAGTGTCATGAAAGGGAAGGAGCATAGCCATTATCACATAAAGCCAGGGTGAATAGCGTTTTCACAACTATGGTGTCAGGAATATATGTTTGTATTCCTGACACTATTGTGTTCCTTTAATCAAGTTAAAGGAACATTCTGGTCACCATAACAACTTCAACTAAATTAAAATGCTACGATGCGAGGAGGCCCTTCTCTTTCCTTTAAGGGGTGAAACCATTCTCAAATGGTTTCCCCCAAAAGCTTCCTCCAGCTCCAGATCGCTCAGTGGTATTCTTAAATGGAGTGTCAGGAAGTGCAGATTGACGTCAGGCATGGGTGCCGCTGATTGGCTATAGTGGTCAGCTGACGCTCTAAGCCAATCGCTAGTACCCGATTCATAAAAATGTTTTACGTTTTCATGAATGGGGAGCTACTGATTGGCTTAGAGTGCCAGCTGACCCTCTAGCCAATCAGCGGCACCCATGCCTGACGTCAATCTGCACTTCCTGGCACTCAGTAAATAAAGGTGAACACATTAACACTGATATGTTTTTACCTGGGGAGATGAGAAGGTCCAAAGTTTCCCTGCCAGGCCCATGTACCAAAGCCTTATGATGTAGTGTCCAGAATGAAGTGCTCCAATCTCATTTTCTTCTCCTTCATTTGACACAGTCTTCTTTTCCTTATGAGGCTCCTTCTGCAGAGGTGGCTCTAGACTTTATGAGGCAAAACTCAAACATGAGGCCCCACTAACAAAAAAGTGAAAAAATAGAGTTGCAATACATGCACACTGTCACATACACACATTGATGCACAGTTTACCTGTGTATGTGCCTCAGAGTGTGTCTGACAGAGAGTATCCTTGTGTGGGTGTGTGTGTGTGTGTGAATGTATGTCTCTGTGAGCATGTTTGCGTTTTTGTCTGGTACCCTATGTGGATGGGGTGTCTGCTTGAAGTGTGTTGTGTGTATGGGGGGGTGATTATGAGAGGGAGAGGTGGGTGATGCTGAGGGTGGGGGTGATGCTGAGGGTGGTAAGGGGGGTGATAGTGAGGGGGGTGATGCTGAGGGGGGTGAGGGGGTAATAGTGCCCCCCCATCCCTCACTTACCTGCTCTGTAGGCTGCCCCTCCCCCATCCCTCACTTACCTGCTCTGTAGGCTGCCCCCCCATCCCTCACTTACCTGCTCTGTAGGCTGCCTCTGTGCTGCTCCCCTGCGGTTTCGGTCATGGAGAGGCAGGGATAAGCTGTAGCCTCCTGCCTTTTAACATTCACAGCGTCACCTACTGGCTGGCGCCGGTATTGCAGTGTATTCTCACACAAACCAAAAATAACAGCACAAGGTTAAAAATCCAGGGGTGGAGGGGTTGAAGGGGGGGGGGGGGTAAGTGCCCCCTCTTGCCCCCCCCTGCGGACGCCCATGGCCATCCCGGCATCCCAATATTTCCTCTCCCACCCAAGTCCCCAACCCTTCTCTATTTAGCTATCCAGGCAGGAATATAATGTACCCCTTCAGTTCCTGTGGGGAACCCCACTTTCCCCTCCCCCCCACTATGTTTCACAGAGTTCAACTCAAACTAAGGCTAACTGTGGAAACCATTACAGTCTGTTTCATGGTCAAAAGTGCGTGTCTGGAGGATGATATGGAGCTCCAGTGTGTCTGCCCTTGCTGGGTGCTTGTACAGGTCAGGCACGCTGCTCCATCCAATCTCTTGGCAAAAGCCCCAAACTGCTAGGGTCTCTGGGTGGCATTTGTAGGTCTTTGGGCACTTCAATACCCAGGTCCCTCATGAATGCTTTAGGATCGGCAGAAGGGAGCCGTACAGCTGGCTTCGGGCGGTTAAAGACAAGCATTTTAAATGGGAATCCCCAGGCAAACCGCAGTCCATTGGCCCTAATGAGATCTGCAATTGGTTTCCATTCTCTCCAGCGTCCTAAAGTAAGGGGTGCGATGTCCTGGAATAGGCCAATATCCTGGCTCTCATGCTTGAAGTTTTGTTGCCTTCTGGATTTCATCATTGACTCCTTGGTGGAGAAAAAGTGCCAGCGCAATATGACATCTCTAGGTGGGCTGCTTTCAGCGGTCTTGCTTGCAGAGCCCAATGTACCCTGTCAATGAGCCATAGCTAGTCTGGTATGCCAGGCAGGCGTTCCTTGAAGTAGGTCAGCAGAGTGTGTTCCAGGTAGGCGTATGTGGAATCTTGGGTGCGGGGCACTCTGATGAAGCGGCCATTACTCTCGACGGTCAAGCCATGCCCCCCACCTTCTTGGTTTTTGTTGACAGAGAATGTGTATAATGTGTTTATCTGAGAGTTGGGTAATCAGAGGAAACCTGAGCTTAAATAACATGTCTAGAGGTAAATGGATGCTCCTTTAAGATTTGTATAAACCCTGGACTTTCCTCTCCAGCTGAAATAATTATTTCCTGGATAATAAACAGGACATGATACAGGGTCAGAGTGTGATATGAGAATCTTTTTACTGGAGTATTGGCATGTTATAGAATTAACAACCAGGGACAAAGTGCATCAAATACACACAGCCTTCCTGGAACGTGCAACAAACACACACTATCTGGAGGGTGCAACAAGCACTCAATATCATTGAGTGATACCACCAGGCTCTGGAAGGGATAAAGGGACATCAGACTCTGGAGGTGATGGACAAGCAGACAATTTCATCCCATTACTGATATACTGAACATATTGAATTTAGTAGAGTGCAGACGGAATTCTGGATTTTATAATCTCCTTCCCGGGACAGTGATTGCTCTGTACAGCGGGCTCTGTGTGAAATCAACAGAATGCAAGAGGATTCAGAGACTGGTATAGTGGCAACACCAGGCTCTGGAGGGCATAAAGGAACACCAGGCTCTGGGGGGGATAAAGGGACACCAGGCTCTCGAGAGGAGAAAGAGACAACAGGATCTGGAGGGGATAAAGGTGCCCCCAGCTCTGAAGGGGATAAAGGGACACCAGGCTCTGGAGGGGATAAAGGGACACCAGGCTCTGGAGTGGATAAAGGAACACCAGGCACTGGAGGGCTCAAAGGGACACCAGGCACTGGAGAGGATAAAGAGACACCAGGATATGGAGGGGATAAAGGGGCCCCCAGTTCTGAAGGGGATAAAAGGACACCAGGTTCTGGAGGGGATAAAGGGACACCAGGCTCTCGAGAGGAGAAAGAGACAACAGGATCTGGAGGGGAAAAAGGTGCTCCCAGCTCCGAAGGGGATAAAAGGACACCAGGCTCTGGAGGGGATAAAGGGACACCAGGCTCTGGAGTGGATAAAGGAACACCAGGCACTGGAGGGCACAAAGGGACACCAGGCACTGGAGAGGATAAAGAGACACCAGGATCTGGAGGGGATAAAGGGGCCCCCAGTTCTGAAGGGGATAAAAGGACACCAAGTTCTGGAGGGGATAAAGTGACACCAGGCTCTGTAGGGGATAAAGGGACACAAGGCTCTGTAGGGGATAAAGGGACACCAGGTTCTGAAGAAAATACAGGGGCACAAGACTCTGGAGTGCATAAAGGAATACAAGGCACTGGAGGGGATAAAGGGACACCAGGCTCTCGAGAGGATAAAGAGACAACAGGATCTGGAGGGGATAAAGGGGCCCCCAGCTCTGAAGGGGATAAAAGGACACCAGGCTCGGGAGGGGATAAAGGGACACCAGGCTCTGGAGTGGATAAAGGAACACCAGGCACTGGAGGGCATAAAGGGGCACCAGGCACTGGAGAGGATAAAGAGACACCAGGATCTGGAGGCGATAAAGGGGCCCTTAGCTCTGAAGGGGATAAAAGGACACCAGGCTCTGGAGGGGATAAAGGGACGCCAGGCTCTGGAGGGGATAAAGAGACACCAGGCTCTGGAGGGGATAAAGGGGACCCCAACTCTGGAGGGGATAAAGGGACACCAGGCTCTGGAGGGGATAAAGGGACACCAGGCACTGGAGGGGATAAAGGGACACCAGGCTCTGGAGGGGATAAAGGGGACCCCAGCTCTGGAGGGGATAAAGGGACGCCAGGCTCTGGAGGGGATAAAGGGGACCCCAACTCTGGAGGGGATAAAGGGACACCAGGCTCTGGAGGGGATAAAGGAACACCAGGCACTGGAGGGGATAAAGGGACACCAGGCTCTGGAGGGGATAAAGGGACACCAGGCTCTGAAGGAGATAAAGTGACACCAGGCTCTGGAAGGGATAAAGGGCCACCAGGCTCTGGAAAGGATAAAGGGACAGTAGGCTCTGGAGGGGATAAAGGGACACCAGGCTCTGGATGGGATAAAGGGACACCAGGCTCTGGAGAGGATAAAGGGTCAGTAGGCTCTGGAGGGGATAAAGGAACACCAGGCTCTGGAGGGGATAAAGGGCCAGTAGGCTCTGGAGGGGATAAAGGAACACCAGGCTCTGAAGGGGATGAAGGGACATCAGGCTCTGGGAAGTATTCAGAGACACCAGGCTCTGAAGGAGATAAAGGGACACCATGCTCTGGAGAGGATAAAGGAACACCAGGCTCTAGAGGGGATACAGGGAAAGCACACAATGAAAGGAATGAACTATCACAGACACATGGATTAAAATCAGAGGAATCACCAACTAGAGTCCCGCTGGTCATTGTGTCCGGGTCACATATGGATCCTCCAGGGAATGAGTGCGCTAGGTGAGTATATCTGTCAGATGATACAATATTTACCATTCTTTCAATGATCAGCTGGCTCTTACTGACATTCCTACACAGGACACAATGTTTAATAATCAGATTCATTATTACTCTATACAGACACAGCATATTGAATTATCCTCATGTGCAGATTGATGATAATAGAGTTGTGAAAAATAGCTCCAGATTCAGAGTAACTCATTCTGTTTGATAAATGCACCCCACCCACCCCATGGTCCATGTCCTGTTTGTATTGTAATATCCATTCTAAACTCACTAAGGACAGTTATAGTTTAATGATATTTAATGTGTGTTCCACCAAGAACTCAGTGTGGTTTATCTTGTCTACACGATTTCTTGGAGACCAGTGAACATGGTCCACAGGGTTTGAAAGGGTTAGAAAGTGCTGGCCGGCAGAATGAGAAATTGACAGGTTCCCAATCAGTTATTAAATTTCCAATGTGATCCCTAAAGATCTAGAATGATAACTGTGACTGATTTAACACGGGGGAGTCTATGAATGATAATTTGAAAATGGTCAGGAATCTAAAGTCGATTTGAAATTGAGGCCAAAACAGGCAAATTGGAAAAATCATCAAAGCCAGCTGTTTTTTTTTTAGTTCTGGTGTTTTTACCTATAACCACTATTACCACTGCCCCTATAACCATTTAATCTCTTTGAATTGGTTATGGTGCCTGGAGTCCTCGGGCTGTGTCTTCATGTGTAACATGTAACCTGAATGTTTGATAAATAGACTAAGGGCATTTTTTTTATCATTAATTGACAGGTTTATATAATGTAAACTGCAGAGATAATTGATAATAGCATAAATGTTGATTTATTTTCACACCCTATGAAAAATCACCAGAAGCTTTAATACAATTTGAAATCTTCATCTTTAAATAAAATTCCTTCCTCGCTATGTACTAACATCAGATTCTCGCTGACATTTAGCTGACATAGAGATTGAAGTATGAGGAAATTATCAAAGGGCAAAAGCAACGAGACTGCGAGCCTGCAAGATGGAACAAGTTAATGATTCATAAAATCTCACATTTATCATTCTATAATTCCTTTACACCCGACTCTCCCTGTGCTGGCATTTAGCTTATAAATCTAACTCTCTTCGTATTATGTTGTTTAGCATTTTTTCTAACTTTAGTGACAAAAAGCCACAAATGTATCCCAAAATACACAAGCATGGCTCAGCAGAGATATTTTAAAGCGTTTTTCCATGTTTTAATGTTATTAAAAATGACCTGTATAATGTACAAACAAAGTGTGGCCACGTTGTGTTAGAGCCCACCAATACTGACAGTATACTCCATGGATCCTATCCTATGTTTCGAGGGTGTAGTGTTAGAGTTAGGGCTACGGCTGTAGGTTTAAACGTAGCCTTATGCTTAGAGGCTTGGGGTAGAATAAGGGAGAGGGATTAGAGTGAGTATTTTATTTTATTTTATTTAGTTATGTAGAAATTATTATGACCATTTTAAAATAACTTATTAATACTTTTTTGTATCAAGCATATACATACTCTAAAGAGAGCCCTGTATGTCCTTTCTATTACACTTACAACATGTGTAGGTGCACCTAAATGGAAAACATCAAATTATGGTTGAATGAAAACAAACCAAAAATGCCAACAAGGACTTTGATCACAGACACATCTAATCTTAGAAAAGCCTGGGTCCTTAAAGGGACATGTATCACTTGACTTTTATTTTTTTAATTTTTTAAACAGCAAGTAAACATTTTTAAACAAATATACAAACCAAGATAAAGTAAGAAATGTTTTGAAATGTATGTAATAAATTTTAACAAACATACTATAAGCTATAAATCAGATTGCATTTTTATTATTATTATTATTTCATTTATTTTCTTCTTTCTTTCCTCCCTTTTCTTTACGGAGATATCAAGTGTTGAGTGCAGGAGAAATAAAGAACACACAGGTTTCAGTTATTAGAGATAACAAATGATCTCCAACTGGACAATAGGAAATAACACATGCAGGTGTCAAGTTAAAAGTAATCAGATAACACATTGTTATTATTATTATTATTATAAAGCGCCACCAAATTCCATAGCGCTGTACAATAGGTGGACTAACAGACATTTCATCACAGAAAGGTGAGTTGAACGCACAGGAGCAGACTATGTTGAGGGCCCTGCTCATAAGGCTTGCATTCTAGAGGGAGTGGGGTAAAGTGGCACAAGGGGTAAGGGTAGGATGTGTGTCATGAATGGTAGAATGTAGGTTACTAGAATAGTTTACAGTGAAGGTTAGTTTCTAATTTTGTTACAGTTACAGGAGAGGGAGCAGGTGGGTTAGCAAGGTGCAAGGAGGGAAAGCTATTAACATTGTTGGACATGCCTCTCAACTAGTGGTGTTTCTTCAGCCTCCCCCTTTATCCACCCATCTCCATTTCATACCAAAACACTAATGACAGAAGCAGGGTATCATTGTGCAGCAGCAGGAGAGAGAACCCCGACACCAGAACCTGCTCTGCATGAATCACCCGTATCAGACTCCCTCTATTCTCCTCAAAGTGAAGAGATCTTCCAACTGCACACGTGTAAATCTGCCACTTTTCCAGCATTCCTAGGGATAGGACACTGGTTATATCAGTTCTCCCCCAGAGTGGGTGTGGAAAGCATAAGAAAGAAGACGTAGGTAAATGAGCAAGTAAGAAGAAGCAGGTCATTTTTTCATGGAACAAAATCATATTTATCGTTTTTTTTCAGCCTGCAGAGTAAGGCAACTGTCTCATTAAAAGCCAAAGTATTTGAACGAGACAGTTTTGCAAAGTGATGCATGTCCCTTTAACAGGTTAAAAACGTAATCAAACATTATCACAGTATACCCCATTCTATAAACCGTTTGTTGTTGGAATCCTGACTTCTTTCTTGACTGTCTACACATCAGGATTCAGGAAGTTACAAAACTGGATACTCAGTGAAACAAACATTAACTGACGAGATAGAACGTACTCTGATATTTTTGATAAACCCTCTTATAATTAGCATCCACAGACTTATTTGCAGACATTGTCTGTTTTTATGTTTTGTGGGTGGATCTTGCTGGGTGTCACGATGAGTAACCCCAATAAGCAGAGAAATAGACAGAGTGGCTGGGCCTAATGTAAACAAAGTCAAATACAAGCCAAGGTCAGGTGAAAAACACAACGACAGGTAAACTCTACATCAATAGAACAGGTAAACAAGTAAGAAAACGTTTTACATGGAATCAGGAACAAAGCCAAGGTCAATAACAGAAATATCCCAATTCAATGGTGCCAGATAAATAGAAATACTGTTATGTTTGATTTGATTGGTTCACATCATGCCTGTGACTCCAGAACGTGTGTGAATGGGACACTAGTCAGATTCGAGCTGGAAATTACATTACGTCCCCTGTGTGTCTTTAAGAACGCGCTCCAAATGTGAGCAGTGTTCTCAATGCCGGGATTCGACCTCATTAATTTTTTTTTCCTTTCGGTTCCTGATTTTCTTGAGGGCCAGGTAAGTGTCGTTAGACTGGGTCATAGTTCTGTGCAGTCATGGGTTTGAGTCGCTGATAGTAAGTGTGATGCATCCTGTGTTAGTGTCTCTGAATTGTGTCTGTGTTTTATGTTTCAGATATACAGAGAGTAAGGTGAAGATCTGCTACTGGGATCCAAACACTGACATATCATGGCTAGAGAACCATCTAACTTCGTCTAGTTCTATGAGAATTAGAATGGATAATGTCAAAGAGAATGAATGGAATGATATCATTGATACATCTCATACAATCATTTGTTACTATGAAGATCTAACGAGAACCTGGGGACATATGAGCAAGTTCCAGAAACAATGTATCGCAAGAAAAGGTGAGAGAAAAACTTGGAGTAATGACGGAATGAGATGTTAAGGAATAGAGACCTGACTTGGAAATCTGAGAGCTTTCACAACTACCTTTAATTACATATTATCAAATAGCAAATAGAGTTTGATAACATTGAGAACTATGTAATTAGTGCCAGAAAAACTACAGTCATAGAATAAAACAATTCTGATAATATTTTCACTAAAATCCCATAAATAATGTACAGTATATCTCTTGGAATATTCACTATAAGATCACATTCATGCAGGATTTTATGGAATATCACAAATTAAAATTACCCGAGCTCTCAGTAGAATAGAATTTAAGAAAATCAAAGAAAATAAAGTGCTAAGGTGGAGAGAAGAACCAGTGTTTGCTCCCATTTCTCGCCCACCCCACCGAGATTGGGGGGGACTCCATGAAGATGGGTTATCTAATCAGTCCTGTCTGTGGAGAACGGTGGGATACTGCACTGACCCCTACATCTACCCAAATACCCTACACTTCGGTTAATATTTATGGTAACAGATTATGATGGCTGCATTGTAACCACTACAAGTAGCTCACTACAGGCTGCATGAAGAGTTAATATTCTCATGTATAGTATGTACCAGGTGGGATGTTACATAAAGACATTAAAGGGACACTTCACTGCCCAAATTGGCAAAAAAAAAATATATAATTCATTGTTTAGTAGATATACCCACTATGAATACATGCATGAGAATTCATATATGTATTTATAGTGGGTAATAAAGCTGCAGTTCTTGGCAAGCCATTCCCATTTTCCTTGGAGGAAACTAACAGTCTCTTCACTGGAAAATAGTCTATCTGCAGATCTCCCTCCGAGGACATGCACACGTCTGATCACCCCTGCGTCTGTCTGGCTCACGCACTGTACAGCAGTCTAATCTGAGGTCTAAGAAGGAAGTATGTGGGGGGAGGCAGGCGTACTCATTTAGACTGTTCCTGACAATTCCATTAGCTCAGGTGAGCTAACCGAAACAGGAAGCAAACCTCCCTGGCTGTTTGATTGACAGTCAGGGGGGTGTTCCATAATTATTTATAAAAGTGACGAATGCACAGAAATTGCACGTTTTTAAACTAGAGTTAAAATAGGATACTCCTCACCCATAAAGCATTTCAGCAAACTGAAGTGTTTTATGGAGTGTGGAGTGGTCCTTTAAAAGGTCTACACACTCTTATATTATTCTCTTAAAATGTGAAGAATAAGGCATACAGTGTTATGACATATGTTGGAAATATTAGAATTAGATTAATAATACCAAAGTATTGTTGGCCTTTGACTATGGGGAAAAGTTAATGGAAGATGATTGTGGTGTCTTTTCACGGTATACAGGACGTCAGAGCGTGGTGGTGGTAGTTGGTGAAAATGAAAAGAAATTAAAGAAGAAGAAAACTCAGTGGATGGAAAACTTGGCAGGGTGTCGGCTCTTTCTTTTTACCAAAAATGAAGTTGCATTTCTTGATCCAAATACAAAACACATGGAAGAAAAGCTAAATAACATGATGGAGATCCTGAAGGAAGGTAAGAGCCAAAATATAAGCGTTCACCATAGGATTAGCCCTCAATATTGATTTATTTAGCTCCACGGGGAAAATTAAGTTCTTTAATGTTCTTGCATATGTTCTGAATAATATGACATTAAAAAAAAACAAGGAAACAGAAGAAAGTAGCAAATATTCATATTATTCTCTTAGGTGAATAAATAATCCTAATTTTATTAACGACAACAGGCGAATATTTATCCTTTCATTACTGCATACACAAACAGTAGCAAACTCATGCAACAAAAATGACCAATAGAAAATCAGCAAAGGCTATAAAAGCTCAAAGCACAATAGCCACTTCCTCGTTCTTCTGTGGAACCATGAACAGGAAAGAACCAAACGTCCTCAAACCACGAGGATGACTCCAATCACAGAATCTCAGGAAAGTGACTAAAAATACGAACAGGCCACGAACAAGCCAGAAGGAATCAAACTGAAAAGAAAAGAGACAATCATCATAATACCTTGAAGAAATTAGCCTAAATAATTACATAACACGACTAACATATATATTAAAAAATGATAATAATTAACCATCAAAATCCTCCCCTGTAACAAACTGACCCATAAAATATAAGGGCATTAAATAACATGTAACAATATGAATTAATATAAAATAGATACAACTCCAACAGAACAATCATTGACAGGGCCGGACTGGGAAAAAAATTTAGTCCCGGGCATTTTTCAATCAGAGCAGCCCCCTAAGAAGGGTGTTTGTAATGACAACACGCCCCCTCTCAAAGTGAGCATGTTGGTTCAATGCGCAGAGCCCCGCTGAAGAGCTCTGGCATTAGAAAAAGGCCCTGTATTTGTTCTGCACAGCGCAAGCAAATTTAATAACATGCTTGCACTGTGTTTGCTTTTAAATTGTCTCTGGTGTCTCCACAAGTGGGATACCAGAGGACAAAAGGGCCAGGAAAGTGTATGGTGCATGTGTTTGGAACCTGCTTGTGGGATTGCGTGTGTGTAGAGTGTGGTGTGGTATTGTATAAATAGGACAATTTAATTTGTGTTTGTGGTGTAATATGTGTGGCTAGGGGCTGTAGAGAGTGTGTGTATAGGGGGCATAGTTTTATAGGGGATGCAGCGAGTGTGTGTGAGTGTGTGCTGAAGTGTGTGTGTATAGTTGATGTAGTGTGTGTAGGGGTTGTAGAGAGGGTGTGTTTAGAGAATGTTGTATGTGTTTGCTGACAAGGAATGTAGTGTGTGTGTGTAGGAGATCTACTGTGTAAAGGACCCAGTGTGTGTGTGTGTGCGTGTGTGTAGAGGATTAAGAGTGCATATAGGGTAAGGGATCTAGTGTGTATCTGGAGCGTAATGTGTGTAGTGGTGCAGTGTGAGGGGTGCTGTAGTGTGTGTGTGTGTGTGTGTGTGTGTGTATGTATATATATATATATATTTGGACTTATTGTATGTGTGAGGGGCGCAGTGTGTGTATGTAAGAGGGGTGCTGTGTGTGAGGATTTTTTTATCTGCTGTCAGGGGCGGACTGAGAACCCTCAGGGCCCCCGGGCAAAATAAATCAAGGGCCCCCTTACAGGCCCCACCCATACTCTGCAGCAAGCGCCACCCTTGTCCCGCCTCCATGCACCGCCTCCAGCCACACCCTACACAATCTTTAGACACAATGAACAAAAGGGCAATAAGCCCTTCGAGGCCCCAGTAGAGACTACAATTGAGGGCTAATGGGCCATGGAGGGGGGTCTTTCTAGCGGAGGCTATCTCAGTGTCCTTTAGAGAGTGTGTTAGATAGAATCCCCTCCAAGCCCCATTAGAGACTACAATGGAGTCTAAAAGGCTTGGAAGGGGGTCTTTCTAACAGAGGCCATCTCAGCGTCCATTAGATATCCCTGCTGGAAACAGTCGCCTCCAGGCCCCAGTAGAAACTACAATTGAGGGCTAATGGGCCATGGAGGGGATTTCTAGCAGAGGCTAGAGTCTAATGGGGCCTGGAGGGTGGTCTCTCCAACACTCTGGTTCCTATTCACAATATAGCAACACAACATAGCTCGCTGATACCTAAGCCAAGTTGGCTCCTCTTACCTTAATTACTGTTGCTGGCTGGCAGCCTGTGGGCTTGCTGGCTGCGGCTGGCAGGCTGTGGGCTTGCTGGCTACTGCCGGCAGGCTGTGGGCTTGCTGACTGCGGCTGGCAGGCTGTGGCTTGCTGGCTGTAAGCCTGTGGCTTGCTGTAGGCCTGTGGGCTGGCTACTGGCCTGTGGGCTGGCTACTGGCCTGTGGGCTGGCTACTGGCCTGTGGGCTGGCTACTGGCCAGCCTGTGGGTTGGCTGGCTGGCTACTGGGGCACTTGTAGATTATTTAAAGAAATAATCCATGCACAATAACCACTACTGCTCCAGAGTAAGTAGTCAAACCGTTTAAGAACAGTTTGACAACTTACCTGGGGTCTGCTGGGATATGAGGCTGTAGTAGGGAATAGGAGCAGTGGTGCAATGTGTGTGAAAGGTTCAGTGTGTGTGTGGGGGTGTAGTGTGTGAATGTGTAGGGTGTGTGGGCAGTGTATGTGTGTGGCAATGTTAGTATGGGGGGCTGTTTATGGGGGTCTGTGTGTATATGGGTGGGCAGTGTATGTGTGTGTGTGAGGCAATGTGTGTAAATGTGTATGGTGTGTATGGGGGCAGTGTGTGAATGTGTATGGTGTGTGTGTGGGGGCAGTGTGTTTATGGGGCTAGAGTTCACTCTCACCACTGCGACCACCAGGAATCCATGGGGGTTACAGTGTTGAGAGTGAACTCTAGCCCGTAGCTCCAGGGCTAGAGTTGACTCTCGCAAGAGCAGTAACGTTGCCATGGTAACCGCGGCAACGCTCTGTGCTCGCGCAAGAAGGACCCAGAGGAGCTGCAGGGTGAGCTCCCAGGTCCTCTCTTCCTCCCCTGCCCGCACGGTGCCTGCGGACAGGGGAGGGGGGCATTCTTCCCTCTCTGTCTCCCCCCTCCCCATCTCTCTATTCCCCCTGTGTCTCATTCTTCCCTCTCTGTCTCTTTCTCCCCCTCCCCATCTCTCTATTCCCCCTCTTTCTCCCCGTGTCTCATTCTTCCCTCTCTGTCTCCCCCCTCCCCATCTCTCTATTCCCCCTGTGTCTCATTCTTCCCTCTCTGTCTCTTTCTCCCCCTCCCCATCTCTCTATTCCCCCTCTTTCTCCCCGTGTCTCATTCTTCCCTCTCTGTCTCCCCCTGTGTCTCATTCTTCCCTCTCTTTCTCCCCATCTCTTTATTGCCCCCCTTTCTCCCCCTTCCCCATCTCTATGTCCCCCCTCCCCATCTCTCTATTCCCCCTCTTTCTCCCCCCTCCCCATCTCTCTGTTCCCCCCTC